TACGGGGCAGGGGAGCTGGCTGGAGGCTCCGGCGTTCCGCCCCCTGCCGTAAGGGGGCTGCCAGGGGCACCCCAGGCTATGGGGCACGGAATTTTGCTGGAAGAAGTCACCCTGTATAAGGGACAAAAGTAGTGCCAGGATTGTCCCCTCATCTGTAGGGCAGGGCAGGCCCTGTGGGGGCTGCAGGGACCCCTGCGTGCACTCTCTGCCCTGTGGGAAGCAGGGTGAAGGGGTCAGGGCCTTGAAGGCCCCCTCTGGGGTGGTCTCAGAGCCAGGGCTGTGCTGTCCTGTCTTCCACAGATGTTGAAGAAATGTCATCCCTTCCCGAAGCCCTTAGGGGTGTCGCCTTGGGTGGTAGCAACTGTGTCCCGAACAAGTGCCCCTGCCAGTGTATGTGCCCCCCACTTTAGCCTCTCCTATGCAGGGTGTCACTCCTGGTCCACCTCTACACAATATGAAGGACTGGGGGGGCTCTCTGTGTGCACCTCCCCTCCTTTGGTTCTGGCTGTGGTGTCCTGGTTCCTGTTGAGGCACCCACACTCACCTGGGGATGGGAGAAACAGTTGAAATACCTGATTAAAGTGGTGTTTATGAAGAAGAGGGTGGTGGTGATGAAGGTGGTGCTCCCTACAAGGCCTTGGGAGCAAGACTCCGATGAGGAGAGGATACCCACCTCTCTGGGGAGGCTTTCACAAGGGCTGTTCCTGTCTGATGCTCCTCACGTTTGCACTCATATGCCTTATCTGAACCCTGCCCTTCCCCTCGTGGTGTGCCAGTCTGAAATGCTTAGTTGGCTTTAAATCTTGCTAGGCCAGTTAAATCTCTCTTTCTAATGTGCTTTCACTCAGTCTTTTGTCACTGTGCCGGCTCCCTCAGGTTGGTGGGACAATCCAGGTCTCTGGCAAGCAAAGAGAAAGCAGTGAGCCCTGTGTTCCTGCTGTTCTGCTCATGGGGGAAGAAAATGCTGCGCTCTCCCTCGTCATTTTGTCTTCAGTTGCTCCCATCCCTTACCCGGAGGTCACAGCCGTGCTTCCAGCTGGTGGTCTCAGACAGCATCTCTCTCCTGCAGTGGGTGACTTTGAGCTTTGGCTTGGAAAGCTCAAACCAGGTGAACCGGTCTGGGAGGCAGCCGGTCCTGCCTAGACAATACACTCCGACGTCAAATTTTTGGCAAAGTTCTCTCTTACTCCTAAGTGGCTGCTTGGCAAATATCCTGCTGCCCAGGAGCTTTGTTACCACCTCTATATACGCTGTGTGCTGGTTTCCAGGGACAGTTGCCGAGAGATCTTGGGCAACACAACCTCGAAAGGTGGAGGTGGGACATGCTGCATCCATGGTCACTAGACATGAAGCTCACTCTTTTTTTTTCTTTTTTTGGTCTGAGCTTTGAGAGATCTTCCTGTACAGATTCTTATCTCTCCCCTTTCTTTGCCCTGACAAGCTGGCAGAGGGGCAGAGGGAGGCTTTGTAAAGATTTGGAGACTGTGTTAGCTTCCTTTTCCGTGACACTTTGTGTATGTGGTCACTTAGCTGTGTTAGCTTTTAGTTGGTGCTTTTTCCCCTGTAGATTTAGGGTGGCAGGACTAGTAAATGTTGTTTCATGTTTCTAATACCGCCCTGTGGTTTTTGCATTGGGAATTCTCACCCCAGTAATTTTCTGGGGATGCGTTGGCAGGTTGGTCTAGTGTGTTATCCGGTGGGATGGGTTGTTTATTTCCTGTTCTGTAGAGGGATGGGCAGCCAGGCTCCGGTGGCGGGTATTTAAATGCTGTTTTAAAAGGGGAGAAATGGAATCTGTTCAGAATAAATATGTTCTGTGTCTGAAGTGGCACTGAAGTTTTGTGGATATTCTTTCTGCTACAGTGTCAGTAACCCACAGGCTGGGTGATCTCCTCATGAGTGGTGTAACACAGATACCGCAGCCGTTGTGCCAGCCACTGTCAGTCACCCGTTGTTGCAGACACTGAACATACGGGTAGCAAGAAACGCTTGTCCCAAAGAGCTTAAACTGAGACAGGACAGGGGGCTTGTCCAGTCAGTTTGGGAGTGCAATGTCAGCTTAGGTCTCGGCTCCTGACTCAGTGGGGTGTTTGCTGAGAGGCAGTGCCTGCCCTGAGCTTTCTGTCGATGCAAAAGTCAGGTGAAGATAGCTTCAGGCAGGGAGTTAAGCTTCGAGACAGCAGATTCATCTAGCCGAGCTGCATGAGGGAAAACCAGGCAAGAGCGAGTAAATAAAGTTACTGAGGCATCACTTGGTGGTATCACTCCCCTGCCTCAAGTTTCTCCGCTGTAAAAGTAGGATGTGGTAATGCAGCTTCGTGTGGAGCTGTAGGATCTGCTGGGAGGCAGCTGCAGGGACGTGAGGTGAAGGAGTGGGATCAGACATCGAAGGTACCACGGACACTACGGCACTAACTTGCCGTCTGGTGATTGTGGATGCGCTCGTGTATCTTAGAACTCACCTGTTGCACACCTCGGAGCATTTGCACTCCTCCTGTCCAGCCTGTTACACCCTCTGTACGGGTGGGTAAGGCAGAGGGTTGGCAAAGATGGGACAAACGTGGGGCAAACCCGCTTCGTGCCGTGGTTGGAGCTCACTGATGCAGGAAGGTGGTGTTCAGCCCTGCCTCTGTAGCCTTCTGGAAACAAGACTGTCGTCTTCAGCTGCTTGTGTGGGAGCACAGGCTGATGGGCTGTGCAATTCGATCAGGGTGGGATGCTTTGTTTGGGGGAGCCTGGATTCAAATTCTTTAAAAAGAGCTGCCTGGGAGGGGGGACCCTCTGCCGTTGTATCGGCCATTAGCCAGTGCAGGCATCGGCCGATGGCTTCGGAGCCCCAGGAAGGGATTTCCTCGCCCAGAGCTGGCTGCCACATCCCCTCCTTTATCTCGAACACACGTCGTTCGTTTGGCTTGGGAAGCTCAGGCCTTCGCAGGTGAATCCAAGCGGTCACCGCGGGGATCCCTGCGCGGAGGGGAGCAGCGGGGTGGCTCCCGGCGCGAGCTGGGCGCTGGAGAGGCTCCGCTGGCTTCGCAGGTGAATCCAAGCGGTCACCGCGGGGATCCCTGCGCGGAGGGGAGCAGCGGGGTGGCTCCCGGCGCGAGCTGGGCGCTGGAGAGGCTCCGCTGGCTCCTCTTCTGCAAGGAGCCGCCATGAGTCATTGGGAAGCGGCGCTGATCTGGGGGGGTTGTTTTTCTTACTCCTGATAATCTGCTTGCTATGCCCACCCACGGGGGTGCCTCTGCTTAATCGCTGTCCTGACTCCTAGATGCTAATTAGTCAGCAAACTCATTCCTAGGCTTGATCCCTCGTTGGTAAACACAGTGAGCCTTTTCAGCGCTTCCAGCCACGAGGGATGGCTACTGCAGCAGCGAGCCCACCCCTTGCCAGGCTTGGCCACCAGGATCTCTCCGTGCTGTGGTTGTTTCCAGCCTCTGCCCTGGAGCTCTGCGTCTTTCCCCTGCCAGCTGGGCCTGTTGCTGCCACCTCCCCAGCATCAACTGGTTCCCAGCGCGTTTTCCAGCTGCACCAGGCTGCCACCCCCTTCCTACGTGGCTGGGCTCTGCTCGTTTTACTGCCGGGCACCATCTGCAGCTCCTGGAAACCAGGCCAGCTCTGTTGACCCAAGAGGAGCCTGTCCCTTGTGTGCCAGCTCTGAATGGGCCCTTGTCTCCGCTGTGGGATGCGGGACCGTGCTGGGTACCAAAGGGATGGGGACGACTTGTTTTCCAGAGGTGCTTTTTCAGGGTGGGGTGGCTGTGACTAGTTACCCAAATGGAGGTAATAACTCAGGATCCCTGTCTTGTGTCCAGAGCCTGTAAAACTAGTGATGAGCACTTGTCTAGTAGCTCCTCTCCGAGGTGATGCTCCCCACATAGTGCCTGCAGCCCTCAAGCTCCCTGTCCCCCTTGTCCCATTCACGGTGAGCCAAGGGACTGAGACGTGGTGACTCGTTTCAGGCCAGATAGGAAGTAGTTGATCGAGCTGGGGTTTGGACCTGTGTCAGACCATGTACAGTACCAGAGGCTGTTTTGCTGTAGCATTGACCACGAGCCTGAGAGCCAGCGTGGGGTTCAACCCCTCCAGTGCATCGTGGAGGAGCCCAGTGTCGCTGTCTGGAGTCCTTCCCATCCCTCGGGGCTCAGAGGGGTGAATTCCCAAACCTGGAAATCCCCTTGATGGAAAAGAGAATGAACGTCAGTGTATAAGGCAGGGGGACTGAGAGCCGATCTCAAATCCCAGCTTAGGCTGGAGAAAGTCTAAGAGTTTAAACAAGGCTTCTCTTTGCTGCTGCAAAGAACAAATCTTCGGCTGAATGTGGCACTTTGGATCGAAGGATTTGAAGACAGAAGGTTATTGAAGTTGCTTTTGGTCTGCATTCAGCTCCCGACAGCATGCAAGAAGTATGACCCCAGTCTAGGCTGAGGAGGTTATTTGTGGCTGCTCTGTGGGTTTTTGCATTGTTGTCTTTCTTTTCTTTTTTTTTTGTTTCCCTGTCCTCTTCCTGCAGCATTCAACCTGTCTATGGAGCACAGCATCCTCCGCTGGATCCCCGCCTCACCAAAAAGTAAGTGTTTATTTTCTGGAGACGCAGGCCACGAGGCTTTGCAGGTTTTTGCCTCAGGTGGAGGTCTCCAGCATCCTCTGGCACCGTAGTGTTCCAGCAGAGAAGGGCAGCAGTGGTGTGTGGTGCTGTCTCGAGCTCTTCAAAAGTTTGCAGGGGAAGCTTATCTGCTGGCGCCCTTTATGGCCAGAAATTCGTATCATACCAGCCACATCAAAGGAGACAGGCGCATTTTTTTAGCAGTGATGTCTGAGCCCTCTGCTCCCCTTCGGAGACGGAGGAATTAAAGGAAGGGGAGGTAAAGCTGCCCACCAGCTGCGAGGCTGGAGGACCACAGCCCCCTTCCTGGCAGGGAAAGGCAGAGCTGATCTGAACTGCCTCCTTGTCTGTCTCTCCTGCTGTGTAGCGGTGAAGGTTCCCCCTTTCCTGTGACGCTTCAGGTGACGGACTTTGCCTCCTGTAGCGAAGGCTCCTCCTGTGCCTGAGGAAAGAGCCAGCCTGGGCTGTCTGCTGGGAGCCATCGCAGCTGTAGCGGGAGTGTCCCCGAGCGCAGCCCGGCTCTGTGTAACCTCTGAACATGCCTCTGCCCAGGTCACGAGGCTTTTTTGGGGTGTTAATCTACCAGGTTTTCTCTAGGGTGAGTGGAGGCAGAGCTGGAGGAATTTATGTCTCTCCCCTTTGCCATTCTGAGCTGGGAAGCCTGGCACCTCTCCAGCTGTCTGCTGGCACTGTGGCCTCTGCGCCCTGCTGTCGTACCAGCTTGGGCTCTGCCTGCCGGCAGCAGGCAGCCTGGAGAGACTTAACACGTTCCTTGGGTTTGGGAGGAGGAATGGGGAAACTGGGAAGAGGGACTGGCTGATTGGAGTGAGGACGTAGGGAAGGAAAGAAGACAGATTCATCTGCCAGCGTGGCTCTGATACTGTTTCTCTCTGGCTGCCAGCTTCATCAAGGACCGCTCCAAGGCCAACGCGCTGCCTATGAAAAGCAAGAAGGCCTCCAGCTTCCATGAGTTTGCCCGCAACACCAGTGATGCCTGGGACATCGGTGATGATGAAGATGAGGACTTCTCCTCCTCCTCTTCTTCTTTGCAAACTCTGAACTCTAAAGTGGCCAAGGCCACGGCAGCCCAGGTTCTGGAGAACCACAGCAAGCTGCGGGCGAAACCCGAGCGGGCCCAGTCCGCTCTCGGTGACGTACCCACCAACTGCAAGGTCATCAAGTCCAGCAGCGAGGCCCAGCTCTCCAGGACATCTGGTAAGAGCTGTCTTCAGGAGCAGCCTCCTGCTCCACTGCTCTCCTGGTTGACCACCGAACACAGCCGCTTGCTGCTACTCACACATGAGGGGCAAGAGGCTGTGGCACAGCCCGTAAGCTCCACAGAGGCTTTCCCCTCCTTGTAGTATCCTGTACTCCAAGGAGCCATTTTCGGAGGCCTGGCTTTAATCTTCAGTGTCTTCTGCTGCTCAGGATCCTGCATACAGGCATATCTGTCCCAGAGGATCCCATCTTCTGGGTGCTAAGGGACTTTAGAGATCTGTTAAGTTCTTGCTCGGGGTTGCTCACTGTCTGCTTCCTTTGTGGCCCTGCTTTTCGTAAGGGTCTGGATGAGGCCGTGTAGAGCCCTGATCGATACAGCTTGGGCAGGGAACTGGGCAGCATCAGCCCCTGCTCACTGTGCCTTGTCACGGGCGGACGGCTGCCCGTGCTGTGGAATTAACCCAGCCGGTCCCTGCTGCCAGCAGGTGGCATTGGCAGCATTTCGCCTCCTCTCTTCTGCGCTAGCAATTAGCTCGACCACTAGATCAGCGGCGGGTAGAGCAGATCTGAAGGTCGGCTCTTCTGGGATTCCCACAGCTCCTTCTGCCTCATCTCCTTCTGCCCGTGGCTTCCCGTGTGAAGAGGGAAGTCTGATCCACAGGCAGCCAGGTGTCTGGATGCAGGGGGAAGGAGGGGAAAGAGAAATGGGGGGAGGAAGTGATGGAAGAGCCACCACAGATACCTGTGAACCTGCTGATCCATCGGAGTGGGCCAGCGATGCTGTGTCTCCGGGGCTGAGGAAGAGAGGGGTGAAGTCTGCAGTGGCAGGTCTCTGACAGCGGCTGGAGGAGCGAGGTAGGGTTGGAGAGGTGCAGTCTCCTTTCCCCACCTCACCACAGCGTCTGCTCCTTGCAGAGGAGGCCTGTGTGCGGACCCCCCTTCAGAAGCAGCAGTCCCTTCCCCTTCGGCCCGTCATTCCACTCGTCGCCCGAATCTCTGACCAAAATGCTTCGGGTGCTCCCCCCATGACGGTGAGGGAGAAAACCCGCCTGGAGAAGTTTCGGCAGCTTCTTTCCAGCCACAACACGGACCTGGGTGAGTGTGGCAAAACGGGGGTGCCTGCGGGTGGGAAGGGAAGGCAAGGTGGAGGGGACCTGCTGCCTCCTTCAGATTGTGATCGGGTCTGTTCCAGGGTGGAAAAAACAACTGCCTGCAGTTGCACCAAGTGGGATGGTTGCACGAACTGCTCTGTTGTCAGATGGTAATGTCTTCCACCAGCTCCCTGGCTGTCCCCAATCTTTCTCCGTCTTGCAAGGGATGGTTGTGGTCACGGGGGGCTGTTGGGCTCTGCGTGAGAACTGAGGCTCCAGCACATCGGAGCTGCTGCCACCACCAATTCTGCGCCCAGGCTGAGCTGAAATCGTCTCTACTCCCCTTGCCGCAGACCCACATCCCCAGTCATTGCTAATGTGGAGCCTTCCTGGAGGCTCAGTGTCTCCAGAGCCTGCAGGAGCAGACTGGGCTTTCCTCTCCTTCTAGGTGTAGTGGTGCCTGGACGTGCCTAGGATCTAATCCATTGCCACCACTGTCCGTTTGCAGATGAGCTGAGGAAATGCAGCTGGCCTGGGGTGCCCAGAGAGGTCCGGCCTGTGACGTGGCGTCTCCTCTCAGTGAGTACTTGGAGCTGTGACGCTGGAGTCTGGGGGGAATGTGCCGAGCCAGGGACATGCGCTCCCAGACCTTCGTGTGTCCCGTTGCCGGGTTTGCTGATGGGTCTGTGCCCAGCCTGCGGGCGAGCCGTAGGTTTTTTTTTGGTTGAGGAGTGTAATTGCTGCATCCTCTTGCAGCACAAAGCCCAGACTGGTGCTGGGAATGTGTGGTTCCCTGGTTTGGGAAACTGAATCCCTTGAAGTTGGGTTGCTCCGAGATCCGTAAAGGCATCGAGGGCTGGGAAAGCCAAATCCCATGAAAACTTCTTCCCCAGCTCCTGAATCTCTGTGCCCTGATGCCTGTGGGTGCACGGTTGACCAGCAGGATTTGAGGGGACGGTTTGTGGTGAGGGAAGAGGGGCTGCCCTGACACGGGTTTTCCTGCTGCAGGGTTATCTCCCCGCAAACATGGAGCGGCGAAAGCTGACTTTGCAGCGTAAGCGAGAGGAGTACTTTGGCTTCATCCAGCAGTATTACGACTCCCGGAACGAGGAGCACCACCAAGACACCTACCGCCAGGTTCGAGCCCTCTGCCTGTTGCCTGACTTTCTGCCTGGGTTATATCCCTTCCCGCCCTCTTGCTGCCGCTTGTCCAGGCGGTTGGGGTCATGCTAGGTTTCCTCTAGCTGTAGCTGTTAGGAGTCTTCTCCTTGGGGACATGGTACCACGTTTCAGTCCGTCTTCTTATGGGTGTTAGTTTAAGCCTTCCCTAAATTGATCTAGGCACTAGATTTCAGACCCAGACTCTT